AGTGCGTTTTTTGTTTCAACGACAACAACGTTCAAGTGGTGTTTCTTGCTTTCGATAGTCGCCTCAAACCGCTGGTTGGAGTCCTTGGTAGCAATCTGGTATTAGCAAAATGATGTCGTTGGGTCTCGTGTATGCGACTGTTTTCGGTATATCGTGGGGCAGGTCGAAACGCCAGAGGCGTAACCGATTGGTTTCACAAAAGGCAGCTCATGCGCGTCCAGCCGATGATAGACCCTCGCGGTGACCCACCGCGGCTCGGATGGTTCATCTTGGGTGCACTTTGGCTCTGTGCGACACTGGCAGGTAGCATCTACTACCTACGGTTGCTGCAACCACCGCTCGCCAACGATCTTCTCTGGCCGTACTACAATGCTTCAGGGTACCAAACGTTCCTCGCCGATGTCATTAACACGTTTCTCGAGACGGAGCCCGATGGATCCACCGTCGACTTGCAGTCTGTGGTCATTGAGGCGCGCTACGACGGTGTCTTGCCCAACGCTATGGTCCACCCGACGTACGCGATGGCGCTCCTGACGACCAAACTCACAGCGCTGGACCTTGCCATCACTAGTCTGCGCAATACCTCTGTGGACGACATTCAATGGCTGCCAACGCCGTACTGCTGGGTTGACTTCGACAAAGAATTTGAACTCGCGCACACGGTGACGCGTCAAGAGCGCTGCCGTCAACGGTTCGCGACGAATGGCGCCGTGTACCTCGAGTCTATTTTTCGCAACATTGATTGGGACGCCTTTGTCGCCAATTACGGTGGGTCCAACTCCATCTTTTGGTTTGCGATTCAAAGTGGTCTCGAGGCGTCGCCGCGAGGTGTGCGCTGGATGGAGACTATCGCTTCTGTCTCGACGTCGGTGCCTGAAGAGGTCGCGTACTGGGAGCGTGCTGGCATTGAGGCTTTTCACTACCAGTGGCAAGACAGCCATCTCCCTCGGCTCGTTGAGACTGCCACACTTCTCAACGCCCTCAACATCCCAACCTCACTGACGCTCAAGAGCATCGAGCACAGCGCTGGTCAGGCGTTTTCCAACGTTTTTTACGAACCACTTATGATGGACATATTCCTTGTCGGGATGGGCAACATGAGTCTCATTCGCGGGTCGCCCAACTACTTTCTCAACACGACGTACTACGGCATGCCGCCACAACCATTTGAGAGCTTCTCGTATGCTCCCTATATGTTTAGCGCTGGTCAAGTGACCTTGGTTCGCGAAAACCTCGGGCCTTTTCTCTCGATCGATCTCGTTGTCGTGTCTCCCCCCGCGGCTCTTGTCTCGCTTGCACGCGTTCTCTCGTCCGCAATGTATCGAGCACTCGACACGGCTTCTGCGGCAACGTACGCAAATCTTCAGATGCTCTCGGTGACGCCGACCCCGCCGACGTGGAAGTGTGGACAATATGTCTTCTACGGTGGCAACTTTCTTTGCGGCTACGATACACCACAGACGTTTGTTCAGCCACCATTTACGACGACGGAAATGTGCAACACTCAAACTGTCTGGA